GCATCCTGGATTCCACTGCTAGCCACCATCCACCAATTGTATACAAATCAAATCCCCAGACATCGTCGAAGCATCTGCACAAGAAGACGACATGTCAACCTGAGACCGAGCACTTCGGTCCAATCAATCGACAGGAAAATCAAGAATTCAATTCAATAATTAAAATATGACCCGTTGCACAAGAGGTGGCTCTCGTGGCCCAAGTGGTCTAGTGGATAACGCTTTGGCGTTTGAAACTATGGGCACTGGGTTCGAGCCTCGGTGGGAACATCATCACTCACTGAGAAATGCAGGTACATCCAGCTGACGAGTCCCAAATAGGACGAAATGCGCATCCTGGATTCCACTGCTAGCCACCATCCACCAATTGTATACAAATCAAATCCCCAGACATCGTCGAAGCATCTGCACAAGAAGACGACATGTCAACCTGAGACCGAGCACTTCGGTCCAATCAATCGACGGGAAAATCAAGAATTCAATTCAATAATTAAAATATGACCCGTTGCACAAGAGGTGGCTCTCGTGGCCCAAGTGGTCTAGTGGATAACGCTTTGGCGTTTGAAACTATGGGCACTGGGTTCGAGCCTCGGTGGGAACATCATCACTCACTGAGAAATGCAGGTACATCCAGCTGACGAGTCCCAAATAGGACGAAATGCGCATCCTGGATTCCACTGCTAGCCACCATCCACCAATTGTATACAAATCAAATCCCCAGACATCGTCGAAGCATCTGCACAAGAAGACGACATGTCAACCTGAGACCGAGCACTTCGGTCCAATCAATCGACGGGAAAATCAAGAATTCAATTCAATAATTAAAATATGACCCGTTGCACAAGAGGTGGCTCTCGTGGCCCAAGTGGTCTAGTGGATAACGCTTTGGCGTTTGAAACTATGGGCACTGGGTTCGAGCCTCGGTGGGAACATCATCACTCACTGAGAAATGCAGGTACATCCAGCTGACGAGTCCCAAATAGGACGAAATGCGCATCCTGGATTCCACTGCTAGCCACCATCCACCAATTGTATACAAATCAAATCCCCAGACATCGTCGAAGCATCTGCACAAGAAGACGACATGTCAACCTGAGACCGAGCACTTCGGTCCAATCAATCGACGGGAAAATCAAGAATTCAATTCAATAATTAAAATATGACCCGTTGCACAAGAGGTGGCTCTCGTGGCCCAAGTGGTCTAGTGGATAACGCTTTGGCGTTTGAAACTATGGGCACTGGGTTCGAGCCTCGGTGGGAACATCATCACTCACTGAGAAATGCAGGTACATCCAGCTGACGAGTCCCAAATAGGACGAAATGCGCATCCTGGATTCCACTGCTAGCCACCATCCACCAATTGTATACAAATCAAATCCCCAGACATCGTCGAAGCATCTGCACAAGAAGACGACATGTCAACCTGAGACCGAGCACTTCGGTCCAATCAATCGACGGGAAAATCAAGAATTCAATTCAATAATTAAAATATGACCCGTTGCACAAGAGGTGGCTCTCGTGGCCCAAGTGGTCTAGTGGATAACGCTTTGGCGTTTGAAACTATGGGCACTGGGTTCGAGCCTCGGTGGGAACATCATCACTCACTGAGAAATGCAGGTACATCCAGCTGACGAGTCCCAAATAGGACGAAATGCGCATCCTGGATTCCACTGCTAGCCACCATCCACCAATTGTATACAAATCAAATCCCCAGACATCGTCGAAGCATCTGCACAAGAAGACGACATGTCAACCTGAGACCGAGCACTTCGGTCCAATCAATCGACGGGAAAATCAAGAATTCAATTCAATAATTAAAATATGACCCGTTGCACAAGAGGTGGCTCTCGTGGCCCAAGTGGTCTAGTGGATAACGCTTTGGCGTTTGAAACTATGGGCACTGGGTTCGAGCCTCGGTGGGAACATCATCACTCACTGAGAAATGCAGGTACATCCAGCTGACGAGTCCCAAATAGGACGAAATGCGCATCCTGGATTCCACTGCTAGCCACCATCCACCAATTGTATACAAATCAAATCCCCAGACATCGTCGAAGCATCTGCACAAGAAGACGACATGTCAACCTGAGACCGAGCACTTCGGTCCAATCAATCGACGGGAAAATCAAGAATTCAATTCAATAATTAAAATATGACCCGTTGCACAAGAGGTGGCTCTCGTGGCCCAAGTGGTCTAGTGGATAACGCTTTGGCGTTTGAAACTATGGGCACTGGGTTCGAGCCTCGGTGGGAACATCATCACTCACTGAGAAATGCAGGTACATCCAGCTGACGAGTCCCAAATAGGACGAAATGCGCATCCTGGATTCCACTGCTAGCCACCATCCACCAATTGTATACAAATCAAATCCCCAGACATCGTCGAAGCATCTGCACAAGAAGACGACATGTCAACCTGAGACCGAGCACTTCGGTCCAATCAATCGACGGGAAAATCAAGAATTCAATTCAATAATTAAAATATGACCCGTTGCACAAGAGGTGGCTCTCGTGGCCCAAGTGGTCTAGTGGATAACGCTTTGGCGTTTGAAACTATGGGCACTGGGTTCGAGCCTCGGTGGGAACATCATCACTCACTGAGAAATGCAGGTACATCCAGCTGACGAGTCCCAAATAGGACGAAATGCGCATCCTGGATTCCACTGCTAGCCACCATCCACCAATTGTATACAAATCAAATCCCCAGACATCGTCGAAGCATCTGCACAAGAAGACGACATGTCAACCTGAGACCGAGCACTTCGGTCCAATCAATCGACGGGAAAATCAAGAATTCAATTCAATAATTAAAATATGACCCGTTGCACAAGAGGTGGCTCTCGTGGCCCAAGTGGTCTAGTGGATAACGCTTTGGCGTTTGAAACTATGGGCACTGGGTTCGAGCCTCGGTGGGAACATCATCACTCACTGAGAAATGCAGGTACATCCAGCTGACGAGTCCCAAATAGGACGAAATGCGCATCCTGGATTCCACTGCTAGCCACCATCCACCAATTGTATACAAATCAAATCCCCAGACATCGTCGAAGCATCTGCACAAGAAGACGACATGTCAACCTGAGACCGAGCACTTCGGTCCAATCAATCGACGGGAAAATCAAGAATTCAATTCAATAATTAAAATATGACCCGTTGCACAAGAGGTGGCTCTCGTGGCCCAAGTGGTCTAGTGGATAACGCTTTGGCGTTTGAAACTATGGGCACTGGGTTCGAGCCTCGGTGGGAACATCATCACTCACTGAGAAATGCAGGTACATCCAGCTGACGAGTCCCAAATAGGACGAAATGCGCATCCTGGATTCCACTGCTAGCCACCATCCACCAATTGTATACAAATCAAATCCCCAGACATCGTCGAAGCATCTGCACAAGAAGACGACATGTCAACCTGAGACCGAGCACTTCGGTCCAATCAATCGACGGGAAAATCAAGAATTCAATTCAATAATTAAAATATGACCCGTTGCACAAGAGGTGGCTCTCGTGGCCCAAGTGGTCTAGTGGATAACGCTTTGGCGTTTGAAACTATGGGCACTGGGTTCGAGCCTCGGTGGGAACATCATCACTCACTGAGAAATGCAGGTACATCCAGCTGACGAGTCCCAAATAGGACGAAATGCGCATCCTGGATTCCACTGCTAGCCACCATCCACCAATTGTATACAAATCAAATCCCCAGACATCGTCGAAGCATCTGCACAAGAAGACGACATGTCAACCTGAGACCGAGCACTTCGGTCCAATCAATCGACGGGAAAATCAAGAATTCAATTCAATAATTAAAATATGACCCGTTGCACAAGAGGTGGCTCTCGTGGCCCAAGTGGTCTAGTGGATAACGCTTTGGCGTTTGAAACTATGGGCACTGGGTTCGAGCCTCGGTGGGAACATCATCACTCACTGAGAAATGCAGGTACATCCAGCTGACGAGTCCCAAATAGGACGAAATGCGCATCCTGGATTCCACTGCTAGCCACCATCCACCAATTGTATACAAATCAAATCCCCAGACATCGTCGAAGCATCTGCACAAGAAGACGACATGTCAACCTGAGACCGAGCACTTCGGTCCAATCAATCGACGGGAAAATCAAGAATTCAATTCAATAATTAAAATATGACCCGTTGCACAAGAGGTGGCTCTCGTGGCCCAAGTGGTCTAGTGGATAACGCTTTGGCGTTTGAAACTATGGGCACTGGGTTCGAGCCTCGGTGGGAACATCATCACTCACTGAGAAATGCAGGTACATCCAGCTGACGAGTCCCAAATAGGACGAAATGCGCATCCTGGATTCCACTGCTAGCCACCATCCACCAATTGTATACAAATCAAATCCCCAGACATCGTCGAAGCATCTGCACAAGAAGACGACATGTCAACCTGAGACCGAGCACTTCGGTCCAATCAATCGACGGGAAAATCAAGAATTCAATTCAATAATTAAAATATGACCCGTTGCACAAGAGGTGGCTCTCGTGGCCCAAGTGGTCTAGTGGATAACGCTTTGGCGTTTGAAACTATGGGCACTGGGTTCGAGCCTCGGTGGGAACATCATCACTCACTGAGAAATGCAGGTACATCCAGCTGACGAGTCCCAAATAGGACGAAATGCGCATCCTGGATTCCACTGCTAGCCACCATCCACCAATTGTATACAAATCAAATCCCCAGACATCGTCGAAGCATCTGCACAAGAAGACGACATGTCAACCTGAGACCGAGCACTTCGGTCCAATCAATCGACGGGAAAATCAAGAATTCAATTCAATAATTAAAATATGACCCGTTGCACAAGAGGTGGCTCTCGTGGCCCAAGTGGTCTAGTGGATAACGCTTTGGCGTTTGAAACTATGGGCACTGGGTTCGAGCCTCGGTGGGAACATCATCACTCACTGAGAAATGCAGGTACATCCAGCTGACGAGTCCCAAATAGGACGAAATGCGCATCCTGGATTCCACTGCTAGCCACCATCCACCAATTGTATACAAATCAAATCCCCAGACATCGTCGAAGCATCTGCACAAGAAGACGACATGTCAACCTGAGACCGAGCACTTCGGTCCAATCAATCGACGGGAAAATCAAGAATTCAATTCAATAATTAATATGACCCGTTGCACAAGAGGTGGCTCTCGTGGCCCAAGTGGTCTAGTGGATAACGCTTTGGCGTTTGAAACTATGGGCACTGGGTTCGAGCCTCGGTGGGAACATCATCACTCACTGAGAAATGCAGGTACATCCAGCTGACGAGTCCCAAATAGGACGAAATGCGCATCCTGGATTCCACTGCTAGCCACCATCCACCAATTGTATACAAATCAAATCCCCAGACATCGTCGAAGCATCTGCACAAGAAGACGACATGTCAACCTGAGACCGAGCACTTCGGTCCAATCAATCGACGGGAAAATCAAGAATTCAATTCAATAATTAATATGACCCGTTGCACAAGAGGTGGCTCTCGTGGCCCAAGTGGTCTAGTGGATAACGCTTTGGCGTTTGAAACTATGGGCACTGGGTTCGAGCCTCGGTGGGAACATCATCACTCACTGAGAAATGCAGGTACATCCAGCTGACGAGTCCCAAATAGGACGAAATGCGCATCCTGGATTCCACTGCTAGCCACCATCCACCAATTGTATACAAATCAAATCCCCAGACATCGTCGAAGCATCTGCACAAGAAGACGACATGTCAACCTGAGACCGAGCACTTCGGTCCAATCAATCGACGGGAAAATCAAGAATTCAATTCAATAATTAATATGACCCGTTGCACAAGAGGTGGCTCTCGTGGCCCAAGTGGTCTAGTGGATAACGCTTTGGCGTTTGAAACTATGGGCACTGGGTTCGAGCCTCGGTGGGAACATCATCACTCACTGAGAAATGCAGGTACATCCAGCTGACGAGTCCCAAATAGGACGAAATGCGCATCCTGGATTCCACTGCTAGCCACCATCCACCAATTGTATACAAATCAAATCCCCAGACATCGTCGAAGCATCTGCACAAGAAGACGACATGTCAACCTGAGACCGAGCACTTCGGTCCAATCAATCGACGGGAAAATCAAGAATTCAATTCAATAAGATATATATTCATGTCGAAATTGCAGAAACAGATGCAAGGTATGCTTGGCGAATTTATGCTATATGAACGTTATGTAGATGATGCTCTCATTATTGGTAATAATAGTAAATCTATTGAAAACTTGATTACCCTATTTAATCATATTCATCCAAATATCCGAGTGACTTCCGAAGTAGAATCGAAAAACACTCCTTTTCCTGGATATAACAATGAACAGGAGAGATGATGGAACAATTCAATGATCTATTTTTCGTAAACGGACATGGAGTGGACAATATCTTCATTTTACCAGTTTTGTTCCTATCCAGTATAAACGTTCCCTAGTGATTGGAATGTTTGTTCTCAAGGGCTCGAAAAATATGTACGAGTGACACATTGATGGATGAGTTTCGATATATTCATTCAGTTTTATTAACTGATGGTTATCTGAAAAACTTTATCACTTGTCACAGTAAAGAAAAAGCACACCTTGAAAAGACAACTTCTGTACCAAAGAAAGCTCTCTATCTTTATTAACCTACGATTCAAGGGTGATCAGATTATGCAGTTGACAGACAGCTCAAAGACACTTCGGTCAGCCGTCAAATGCACATTCTTCGCCTCATCTCTTTCTTTATCATCTCGAGCATTTTCGATCCCTGTACCTACGATTAAAGGATGAAATTCTGTGGACTCTACTTCAAACTGTATCTACAAGTTCACCTGCGGCTGCGGTGACACACACATATAAAGGTAGAACCAACAGAATGTTCCAATGTTGTAGTCAAAAAGGACATGTTCCAAAATGGCTACTAAATCATATAGAAAATCCCAATGCAATTAATCTGGATAGAAATCCAGCATCATCATCTATTACAAAACACTTATTAATGTCATGCCACAAAATCAATATTAATGACTGTTTCACAATTGTTTCATCACATAACTCTAATTCAAGGTTGGTTATTGAAGGTGATGGGAACACTTTGGGGGGATTAATCACATACATCCTAAACTATGTGTACAGTCAAAACAATAGACTTTACTCTTCGCCTACCCTGGACTACATGACCTATCTAAATATGATTAGTCATTAGTATGTACTTTTGTTTTGTTTTATGTAACTGAGTAATTGTCATGAACTTTATTTTATTTTATTATTGTTAACCATGTTAGTTGTAAGGCGGTGGTAAAGATACTACGAAATGACGATATCATCTCGTGAATTTTGTCTCAATATTTATAAGTCTGTGGTCGAATTTTGATCACCTTTCACGCAATGTTGTTGTTTATTATCACGTTTTGTTGTTTGTGTCATGACTCAGACATGAATGAACAAAGTTTCATTCGGAAGACAAGAGATGTCCTTTTTATAATAAGTGTTTGTTATTTTAATTTCGACTGATGATTTCCCTAAAGAGGAGAAGTTTGGACCAGTAAAAAGTTTGAGTATTGTGGATTAGATCAAATAGAGTATAATTACATATATAATTATATTATATATGTCCAAACCAAGTTCATTTTTAATGGTTTGAAAAAAATTTGGGCATTGGGTATATGATATTCATTATAATAGAGGTTCTTTTTGTATTTCCCAATGAATGAATAACAAAACGATACTATTGTTGTTTTTTTCTGACGTTTCGCTATTTAATGCTAATAGCTGCTTTCTCAAAGTATTATTAAACCGGAATTTACAAAATCTCAGCATATATATAACAGAGAGTTAGGGTGTGAGAAAAAAGATATAGACTTAGTTCAACTTAAAAGGACATATTGAAAGTCAAAATAACAATGAAGACATGGACTTCAACAGTCGTCATTCCATATAGAGCAGAGACGTCAGACGATATCAGAAGAGTACTCAATCAGCTCGACATTAGAGTTTTCTTCAAAACATCGGACAAACTTCAAAACAACCTTGTCCATATAAAAGACCAAATCCCGAAAGATTCTCTATCTAATTGTCTCTATGAAATAAAATGCTCGGAATGTGATGCGATCTACATCGGACAACTATCTCCAGAGAGAAATCGAAATCAGAAGAAACAAACACCGTAGAGCATCTGTTCGACCACTGAGAAATCCAATTGAACTAGAAAAACCCCAAAATTCATCAGCCATAGCTTGTCTACATGCTATAGAATCAGACCACAAAATTGATTTTGACAATATTGAAATAATCCAGAAAAACTTCAGAAATCACAAAGAACGTCTAATATCATCAGAAGCACTTCATATCAAGTGGAATCCAGATTGCCTGAATAGGAATGATGGACTAAAACAGAATCTGACCTGGCTACAACACCCACCTCCCCCATGAAGTAGCAAAATCAACGCAAATGTGATAAGCAAGTTCACTATGTAAACACACACTACTTTCATAATTCTACACACTGACAAAATCCAACAATCTACACTTGGTTTTACTATCTTTACCAGTTCGCTAACTTGACAACAAAAAGCGACCCAGACTGACGAACGATGATCAAGTTAGTAAACTTTGTTTTGATATAATAACATATCTACTATTACCTTTGATATTTGGTTTGAACGATCTTCATTGTTATTTTGACTTTCAATATGTCTTTTTAAGTTGAACTAAGTCTATATTTTTCTCACCCCCTAATTGTTTGTTATATATATGCTGAGTGGATTTTGTAAATTCCGGTTTAATAATACTTTGAGAAAGCTATTAGCATTAAATAGTGAAACGTCAGTAAAAACAACAATAGTATCGTTTTGTTCTTCATTCATTGGGAAATACAAAAAGAACCTCTATTATAATGAAGAGTATAATTATATTTCAATAGTTTACACACAATGATAACTGTTTTGTTATTGGTTCCAACTGGTTATTTGAAGTTCCAATCAGTTTGTCAAACTCAGGAAACGTTGGAATTAATTTTTTCTATTTTTCAATTTCTCTGACATTTCACAAGTACAATTTAAAATAATTAGTGTTCCCTTTATGAATTTAGTTAGACAAAGCAATAAGAAGACGTAATTTGTCTGTCTGAATCGTGTGTGTGGAATGTATTTGCGCGCCAAACACATTTTGAACAATCTGATCACACACACACACACACGATCTTGTCATAGGAATATATTTGAAATGAATGAAGAGTTAAGAGGTGAGAAAATAGACCACTTAGGTCAAGTTAAATGGACATATTCAATACAATTAGTGGATGGTGGCTAGCAGTGGAATCCAGAATGCGCATTTCGTTCTAATTGGGACTCGTCAACTGGATGTACCTGCATTTCTCAGTGAGTGATGATGTTCCCACCGAGGCTTGAACCCAGTACCCATAGTTTCAAACGCCAAAGCATAATCGACGGGAAAATCAAAAATTCAATTCAAAGACATATTCAAGGTCAAAATAACAATAATGATCACTCAACCAAATAACAGAGGCAATAGTACATCTACCCTAATTGGTATCAAAACAAAGTTTACCAAGGAAGGCGGTTTAGTGTGATGACGAATTGCTCCTTTGAACGTATGAAGGTGGTTTAAACTTCCTAATTGCCATATAGGGCTTCCACAAACTTTAGGATACGCCCTACCCCAAACACGTTTTATAGATGTGTTGACGTCAATTTGATATCCTGTCTCTATAATATGCCTAGGAATGTGCGTCGGTGGCACAGTGGTTAGGGTTCTCGCCGACCATGCACATGGTCCGGGGTTCGAGCCCACGCCGACGCACACCTGATATCTATGGTCGGCCTGCGAATTTTGGGCTACCGATATCCACGCTGAAAATTCCACATTTGTACTAAGAAAAATACGGTGTGGAATCAAGCTGTGATCGAAAAAAAATTAGAAAAATATAGGAGCTAGGTCTATTGTTCTCCACACTAATAGGTTCTGAAAATTCTGTTCGCTTCTAGAGCCATTTATGAATATGCTGTGAGGCCAGCCCTTACTTCCAGAGTTCGGTGAGTCCTCCCCATGTATGTGTGTCCACACGTACATTCAAATAGGTAAATACAGTGGGATGTGACCTCATTTTTCGCATGTTCAAAGGGCTTAGATGGATGGATATATTAGCTTCACATTCTCAATTATTATTATGATATTAGCTGCATAAAAAGTCTTTTCAACCACAGCAGCGTTTAATCTTTGTCTAGTTATCAAGTTTCTATGATGCCCCATGTAGGGTAGGTAGCTTGATGTTTACGTCTTTCTTAGAGACGAGTTGGAAATTTGTTTTATTTTACAAGTTTGACCATGGATTGATATCACTTATAGAACCACTGAAAACACTCCAGGGAATATTGGACAGCCAACTGTTTCGTCCTAGCTCGGGACTCATCATCAGTACGCCCTCACATGGATTCGAACCCAAGGCCTTCCGGCTGGCTACAAGATAAGCTTATAGACCATTCAGCATTTGGAACCCGACTCAATGGTCAGGACATGAATTCTATCTTCTGCTAATTCACGATTTTAGCGTGACCACTAAAAGCTGCTGGATTCAAAACCCCTTGTGTGTACATACTACTGATGAGTACCAAACCAGGACGAAACGGCTGTCTAGTACTCCCTACTTTTCAACTGCATATT